TCAGTCAACCAGTGGGAGCCTGGACAGTAATCGTATTTAGGATTGCAGCCTTAAACATTTCTAACTTATGAAGAATAACCAAGAACAATTGTAATATTTAGAGAATTGAATCTGAATTAGAATATAGGGTAACTAAGTTTGTTCTGGTATAAACTTCCATGTGCATGCATTCTTCTTCAGATACACTGAAGCAGAAGTCCAGTAGCACCTTAGAGACCAACTCAGTTTGTTCTTGGTATAAGCTTTCATGTGCATGCACTTCAGATACCAAGAACAATTGTATGAGCTTTACATTAACATCAAGGTCTGCTGAAAAAATACCTGAGTGGAGATGAAACAGAGAGTTCTGTGCCATTTACAGTCTTGACAGTCACTACTTCCTCTTGTTTCTGGGCACTTCTAGGCCCTCCTCCACATATAACAACTTCATCTCCAGGTTTCCAGTCCACATGATCCACCAGAACTAATTTTGTATCATTGGGACGTGCGGCTGATTTCAAGTGTGTGACTGTCACTTTAGGGACACAACCTACAACATAATGTGTAGAGACATAGAGAGAGACAAGGAGCACAAAGGTATTGTAGCTTGACATTTTCGTCATACAAACTAAGCATTCTGATCTCATCTCCCAACTATTTCAAACCTACAATTCAAGCAAAATCAGTAACAAACAACTATGCATGCTTGCACTGTTGGAACAACCTTTTTGGTGCTACATTGAAATCCTCCCAAAGCTTTTAAATGAATTTATGAATAATATGCCACAACGGTGGCAATGCTCAGAGAAATGAGTGAAGTCCCAGGTCCTTCTTCTCAAAGTTTCCTTAAATGTTCTTTCCCTTTCAGTAAAGCTAAAGCGAATGCATTAATATGAATTGTCTCATTAAATAATCATTCTCCCCTCTTCTGTGTTTGTTTTAAACTTAAGGCCAGTTAAAATACAGAGCAGCACACTCATTTTTCTTCCATGCACACTGAAATGATCATGTAGAACAAAACAAAGACGAAAACCCTCAAGCACTTGGAGGCCAGCAGAGAAGGGTGATGTGGAAACAGAGAAAGCAATGATCCATGCCGACTATGCAGTCAGTATTTTTGATGCAACTGTAATGCAAACAAAGGATTCTAAAAAGTCCCCATGTGGGTGGAGGCGGTAGACTGTTTTGCATATCGATTACTGTATCAAGGTCAGTGTGAAGTATCTGAGAACCTTTCGGCAATACACTTTCAGGGAGCTTGTCATCTACAAATTACTGTTTATACAACACCATCAAGATGCATGGCATTTTGTAATAATTCCATAACCAAAAATTTAGGATCCTACATCCAATGAACTTACACATTTGGTGTTGACAATGTGGAAAGAAGAAAGTGGCAAGGGGTGTGAGCAAACGCTGGACCATGCACTGAGGCTTGGTAGAAATCACAGAGCCATAGAGTTGGAAGAGATCTCAAGAGTCATCTAGTCCAGCCCCCTGCGATGAAGGGATCTCAAGTTGAGGTGAGTTTTGAAGAGTTATAGGGCACCACATCTACATGGAGAGAAGCCTAGAGTTGCTGGGCAACAAAAGAGCGCAGAAACATTTTTAAAAGTATGAGGCTTCCAAGTGTCTGAGGATTGCGGAGTTGCAGGAGCAAAGATCACAGAAGATATTGAAATACAATGACATCTAGCACCATACACACAAGAGAGGATAAGAAACCATTTATTGTAAGTAATGTTGTAGGCATATTATAAGGCAACTTAAACCATGTGGAATTGTCAATGCCTCCTATTTACTGTGAGCTAAGACAGCTAAATAGGCAAAGTTATGCACAGGCCATGCCAAAGGGAAAACCTAAAAGACAGACATCAGTCTGCATGTCTAAAATGCAATAAAGGGAAACACACTGCGTTGACCCCACTTAGACAAGCTTTCTCAGACTGACTGATTTCCTGAAGTCTTGGACTACCCCCTACATCATCCAATGGCTGGGACTGATGGGAGTTAAGAGTTGGGAAAGCTGAGTGAAATGAAAAACAAATGATCAGTTCCTGCCATTAATACAATCACATTCCATTCAAAATTAGAAAACAAGGATCTGAACTCTCATGACATAACAAGCAATCTATGACCACAAGTATTAATGAGTACATCTATACCCGTATACTGGGAACCTGACACTTGATTAACCTTCATGAATTGTGGAAATAATCCAAAAGCAGAAAAGATAGATCATCAGCTTTCCCAGCTTTCATAAATTACTGGTTCATTAGCTGAAAGTTCCAACAGCTGTGCCAACCAGGAGTGACTAATAGTTCCTGAAGTCGCCTTCCGTGCCATTTTAGCATCGCCTTGAATTCCCCCGGAGAAACCTCCACTGAGTTCCACCTCTTCAGAACAACAAGCTGGATTTCCTCCAAAAACTGGAGTCTGAGCCAATTCCAAAGAAAATTTGGCACTGGAATGAAGGAAGAACTTAGGGAGAACAAGGCCTGGGGGGCAAATGCTTCCTCTGACGATTTTCAGGATGATCCATCACCCCTTTGCTTGCCCTGTGCTACAGACGAAATGCTTTGGGAAGAAGTCTTGTCACCAGAAACAGATTGTTCACAAGGGGCTATCACAAGCACCACAGCAATACTTGGGGAGGGGGGCAGAAATAAACCCACCAGAGATGGCATTCTATTTCTCATAAAAGGATGGCAGTCAAAAGCAAGGGGAATTAAAATCACTACGATTATTCTTTACCAAAAGGCCTGCCACTGGAAACATTCCCAAGTACTAAAATATGGATTGGCTCAATGCAACTCCTCAATTATTTAATTCATTTTTTAATTATTAACTAGTGCCGGTTGGAAAACAACTCTTCCACAGACTATTTTTGGAGGCAACACCTACACCAGTTAGAACAGAAACATAACCGTGCACTCTGTAAATTAAGGCACATAAATGCTTTCAATGTACAGTATTGCAATATCAACAAGGCAGCATACTGTATTACTCCGGATATCTACAAAATAACTGGATGCGACCTGCACTCTTCTACAACAGTATTTGTGTGGAGCACTCCATTTCAAATCCATTGCCATCATCATTCTCAGCTGTGTTGGAAAGTAGGCTTCATCCCACTCCCCATTCTTCTTCAACTCAAAAGAGAAAATAAGGTTTTTGGGGAAATTTTGTAAATACCGTATTTTTCGCCCTATAGGACGCACTTTTCCCCCTCCTATGGGGAGTTCCCGCCGGGCTCGCAAGGCTTGCGGGCAGCAGCCTGTTCTGGGGGCTGGGGTCGGGGGAAGCTCGGGCTTCCCGCGGCGGGGGGGGGGGATAATTATTTATTTATTTATTTCCCCCCCAAAAAACTAGATGCGCCCTATGAGCCAGTGCGTCCTATAGGGCGAAAAATACGGTACTCAGTAGACTAGGTACACAAAGTTGCTTTATAGATGCATCCTTTGAGGTGATAAATAACCTGCTTGTGCTGAAACTATATATTTGAAGTTTAACACAATAAAACAAGAAGAAGAAAAATATTACAAGCAGAGTATGCTGAAACTATCGTTGATGGCTGTAAACAGAGGCTGGCAGCCATTTTTTTCTGTCAAGGACAACATTCATCTGTCATCTGTTCTTTCAGTCATCTGCCGGGGATGACATGTGCCAGCAGAGTGCAGGGACCCAACCAAGGCAATGTACCTGGGCAATGCTTGTTGGGTGTGGGACCTCAGGAAAAAATAGTCAGGGCTCCTGCTTTAATTTTTCTCCACTGCCCCCTTTCCATCAACATACTATTAGGCCAAGGCCATAGGATTTGTTTTGTTTTGTTTTAGGAGGAAAATAAAGCTTATCTTCCCCACAGAAGAAAGCTGCCAAATTTGAAACCAGCAAATAATAATTAATAATAATAATAATAATAATAATAATAATAATAATAATATATTATTTATACCCCGCCCATCTGGCTAGGTTTCCCCAGCCACTCTGGGCGGCTTCCAACACAATATTAAAATACAGTAATGCATCAAATGCCAAGATCTCCATGGGCTACCAAAAAACACTTGGAGTTTTCCCCCTTGAATTTTCTTACCTTCTGCTGTGGGCTTCCCCAAGTGCAGTGGGGTAATTTGGGGGCAATTTCCACGTCCTCAATCCTGCAGTTCAACACCCACCCAATGCAAAAACCCGTAACATGCCAGTAAGTGCTCTGCATCATCCGAAGCGCCCTGTGACTCACCAACAAGTGAATCCGGAGCCTTCAGAAGCCTTTGGCCTTTCTTTGCTTCTTTCAAGAGAGGTCTCTCCATTGGTAGGGTCAACATGGACCCCAGTCTACAAAGGTTACCAGCTACCAGGGGTGCCAACTTGCCTCTCCACACAGCAGGCCAAGCCACATGGCATCCCGCCAGTGCTTGTGCACTGGGTGTTGAATGGGGAGCATGGAGCTGTGCTCTGTGCTCGCCCTCCTTCTCCTCATAGCATTGGAGGGGGGGGAGAGACAGAGCGTGGCTGCTGGGCTCCATGCTCAGCCTCCATTTCCATGCATGTGCCTGGCAGGGGCAGAATCCGCGGAGGGAGATATTCACTCTCGCTCATTCCAACCCCCTCCGAGTGTTGGAAATCTTAAGCCTTATCAGGAGAAACTGGCCACTCTCCAGGCACCCGGCTTGATTTCCTTGTTGACCTCCCCGTCTGCGTTTCCCAGCAGGATACAGGCTAGGTCACGATCAGCGATCCTCCTCAGCGTGAGAAGGACACACCACTCTTCCCTGCTCCCAGTTTCCCCCAGGGAGGGGAAAGAGATAGACAGAAATGTTTTTACATGCCTTTATTTCTGTCTTTGCAGCATTACAGAGAAACGTGTCTGCTCTCTTCAGACTCCAACAGCAGAGAGACAAACTCCACCTCCTGTACTTCCTGTACAGGTCATATTACACTCTGAGCTAATTCCGGTGCTTTGCACTGAGAATAGACTCTCCCTCTGTTCCCACGGAACAGTCCCAATATTCCCATTATGTTTTGCTTTCAAGCCACCTGCTGCTCGCTGCCGCATTGCATCCATATCGTAACACCGAGTTCCTGGGCTCTTGGGCAGGGTCTGGGGTCTGCGGAGGGCACCTGGCAGCAGCGGGGAATGTCAGCCCCCTCAATATGGGGGGCAGGGCCCCCTGCCTCAAAATACTGAGGGGCCTGAAGCCTCTTGCACCCCCTATACCCGGCTCCTCTGCCAGCTACCCCTGTTCTACATGTAAGCTATGTGCAATACCATTGAATTGTAGCCCTGTAGCAACAGCCTGCATTCAGTTTTTCTTCAGCAGCTCTGGAAGCCTAAAATCTTCCTCCAAACATTTTGCCAAACAGCTATTGGATAAGTTAAGTTTGACCTGAGCAAACTGCCACCATTCAAAATCAACCTGGATTTTCTCTTCTATCTTTTCTATTTGTGCTTTGGCAACATTATGAGCACCAGGGTAGCTGAAATAGGAAGGAGCTTCCACAACTTCTATAAATCAGGCGCTGTTTGTTCCCTGTCGTGAAAGTTTAGAG